GTCTCTGCTGGGTTTGCAACCCTGCCTTAGTCTGTCCCAGCTCTGCTTCAGTGAAAATATAGGTCGTTTACTATTTATGATAATCATGCAGAAAAAAATATTGTGCTTTCTGCTTTCAATAGTAACTATCTCTGCAACAAGGAAAAATTAATATTTATCCCTGTCTTACATATGGAAAAATTAGTAACCATAGTAACTTCTGTTAGGTTTTTCTGGGCACTTTCCTTTTTATAGTGAAAATTAGAAACAATGGCTACGACCAATCGGAACTGATACTCTCTTTCTATCTTTGTTAGGAGATCTACACGGCCAGTTGGATGACTTAATATTTATATTTTATAAGGTATGAATGTTCAAATTAAGTTCCTTTCTTGCTCTGAGACTTAAATTCAGAAGTTCAGATACAGTATCTATTAAATAAATGCTTAAATATTGCTTGGATTTTTAAAATAATATCTTTAATAATATTTGCTACTGTGCAGCAAATACATACAAGTCAACAGTGCATCATGTTCTGGTATATTTTTGTAAACTGTTTAACAAGCAAAATGTTGGGTTCATAAATAGAAGGAGTCATTATTTAGCAATGGATTTTCATCTCTTCAAATAAAGAAAATGCATGATTATCAAAGTAAACAAAAGCTATTTTCATATCTATTTTTTGTTATAAAATGTAGAACATATAACAAAGTAGATGAATATAATAATATTTTATTAATGGAATATTACTTTATATACATACTACACTTCCCAAGGTATTTCCCCATGCATCATCTTTTTAATCCTGAGGAATCTATGGCAGCTATTATTACTATTATTACTAGTTAAAGACAGTTTGCCCAGAACTTAACACTGGCCTTCAGATCACAAGTTCAGTGCCCTTGATCCACACCTCATGGCAACACTCTGGCTTGGCATTAAAGCATTTATTCTAACAAGATCTCATAGCCTGAGCCTCACCGGGAAGGAAATACAAGACCAATAGAAGATATTTCCATCTTTTACTGGCATTTCACATTTGAAGGAGACCCAGACAGCACAGACTTGGCATTAGCCCTGGTACGATTGTCAGTGCCCATTGGTTCAACCTGATATTCTTTACCCCTCCTTCTGCGGACGCTTTGACCCCCTTGTTGGGAAGAATGGCCTCCCATCGCCAGAGCGGGTATACGTGTTCAACGGCGACTTTGTGGATCGAGGCAAGGATTCAGTAGAGATCCTGATGGTCCTTTTTGCCTTCATGTTGGTTTACCCGAAAGAGTTCCATCTTAACCGAGGAAACCACGAGGACCATATGGTGAACTTACGGTACAAGCCAAAACTTGCTTGGGTATTTGGTGTTTGTTTGTTGTGATTGTAAAAAGTTATTTTGCCAGAGTTTTGTTTGTTAGATACCTTTAAAAGTAGTTTTCCAATGTTTTTAAAAAGTAGAATACACAATATGTAACATTTTAAAAGATTTTTTTAGAATTTGCACATTTTTATACTCTTCCAATAAAAGCATTAAATTTTTTTCACACATCCAAACTCTTTTTTTTTTTTGAGACAGGGTCTTGCTCTGTCGCCTGAGTGCAGAGGTGTCATCGTAGCTCACCACAACCTCAAACTCAAGCGATCCTCCTGCCTCAGCCTCCCAAGTAGCTGGGACTATAGGTGTGCACCACCACACCTAGCTAATTTTTTCCATTTTTTTGTAGAGATCGGTGTCTCACTCTTGCTCAGGCTGGTCTCGAATTCCTGTCCTCAAGCAATCCTCCTGCCTCAGCCTCCCCGAGTGCTAGGATTATAGGCGTGAGTCACGAGCCCGGCCCATACTCTTTAACATATAAATAATAAGGGCTCATGATAGTAAAAGCAGGAAATAGATGCAAGCAAAAGCAAGAAAATTTAAATACCCATTTCTCTATCTAGAGATAATGTTATAATTATAAACATTTTGGTAATTATTTCTCAGTCTCTTTTCTATGTATTTAAGAACATATATTTAAAATATGCATTTTTATAAAAATGTGATTATGCCCCAACGATTGTCACTAAATTTACTTTAGTAACTATTTTTGTTTCTAAATCTAGATATGGCTTCACCAAGGAAGTGATGAATAAATATAAGGTACGCTGCCTTTAAAAGCAAAAATTTCTCTTAGTTCCGATAAGTTAATCATTTGATACTCATTATGTTAATATCATTTTTTTCAGATACATGGCAAGAAAATACTAAGAACCTTGCAAGATGTTTTCCGTTGGCTTCCCCTGGCCACTCTGGTAGATGAGAAAGTTCTAATTCTTCATGGTGGGGTGTCAGACACGACCGATCTGGAACTTTTGGACAAACTAGACAGGCACAAGGTACTGACTAATAATACAAATACTACACAAATTTTACCATAATGCCCAGTTTCATTGCCAACAAAAAATAAATGTCATCTTGTGGGCTGACTCCAGTCCACTGACGATGGCTGTTCAGAGTGTGGAGAAGGATTGAGAATCCACAGCTGGTCTTGGGGCAAGCATGCTGCAATCAATTAGGAATGTCTACCACGGACAGGCTAGTAGGCACTTGCCACTAAGGCCATGGATTTGCCATTCCTGATCTAGATGATTCTAATCATTACCCGTCTATCACTGTCACCAGAAAAGCCTCCATTCCCCAAATAATTCATATAATCTTAAAGTCAACAAACGTGCATTTAGTGCCTACTACTACCCTCATAGCACCCCTACGAGACAGCATCATCATTACAGTACAGATAACAAAATGGAGGCACAAAGATACTAAGATGTGAAGTCCAGGGACCACGTGGGAGGGAAGTACAGAGAAGTATGAGTTCGAGTCAGACTACTTGGATTCAGCCCTGGAAGGGTCTATTTTTTTTTTGAGACAGAGTCTCACTGTGTTCCCCGGCCTAGAGTGCCGTGGTGTCATCCTAGCTCACAGCAACCTCAAACTCCTGGGCTCAAGCGATCCTCCTGCCTCAGCCTCTCAAGTAGCTGGGACTACAGGCATGTGCCACCATGCCTGGCTAATTTTTTCTATATATTTTTAGTTGTCCAATTAATTTCTTTCTAATTTTAGTACAGACAGGGTCTCGCTCTTGCTCAGGCTAGTCTCGAACTCCTGAGCTCAAACAATCCGCCCGCCTGGGCCTCCCAGAGAGCTAGGATTACAGGCGTGAGCCACCACACCCGGCCCCTGGAAGGGTCTTGGTATCTTTGTGCCTCCATTTTCTTATCTGTACTATAATGATGATGCAATCTCATAGGGGTGACATGAGGGTTCATCAATTAATTTATGTAAAGGGCCCAGAATAGTACCCATTTGGAAAGGGCTCAATACATATTAACACTAGTATCAGTCTCCTTCTGAATCAAAGTTGGGGATGCTGCTTAGAGCAGGTAATAATGTCCTTAAAATAAAGTTACCCGAGTGTAAAGGGTTTGGACTGGTGGACTGGCAACAGGAGAGAGCAGGTGGTTATGTGTTAGTTCACATTTCGTGGCCTTTTACTCTCTATGCTCAAGACTGGAACTGCCAGAAAGTGATTCGTGTTCGCGCAGTGTCAGACAGGGACCTCCGTTCCATTCTCTTCAATCCGGACTCCTCTTCATGTCATTCGGTGCTGCTGACCCTCTCCGGGTGTCCTTCTTTGTTCCTGCCCTGCACCAGCCCACACTGGGACGTGGCTTTCTTGTATCGCAGTCCTTGTATCTATTCGCAGAGATCTTGTTCTTTGATTGTGGCTTACACAGAGTTCCCTTTACGAACACGACCTTGATCGCTGACATCCTCATGGAAGTTGTCTCCCTCGGTTTCCACCAGAGCACTCGGGAATGGTCGCGCTCTCTGTTTGCTCACTGCCAGTCTGCCCTGTGGCCTGATCTCTCAGTCCCGTGATGAGAATTCCTCCTCCCAGTGCCAAGTGCCACGGTGGCTGTGAGTCAGCCAGGGGGGACTGTACTGGTTCCTTTGGGCAGGAAGAGTGTTTTTCTGATTAGGCCCAGGCTGGAAAGAGGCGCTCCCTCCCCTCCCCGTCCTTCCTCAACAGGGAGGGTAAGGGGTACAGGGTACAGTGGCACTTCCTGGCAAAGGCCACGAGGGGCCACCTCCCCACTGCAGGAGTCGGGTTTTTGCTATTCCTATTTCTCAACCACATACCGCATTTGTTCTCCTTTGTCGTGGCGTCTGTGGGCGACAGGGGGTCACTAGGGCTTGCCTTTCCGGGAGAGTCGTCCCTTGCGTCCTCGTCTAAACGAGGCCCCGAGAGGAAACCATGACCTAGGTTAGTGTTTCTGAAATTATCCGTGGGGAAGGACCAGGTTTCCTAAATTTGCAATTTGTTGCATATCAATGCTTCCGTGAAATACAATCAATACGAATTATTGGAAAAATGAAACACACAAGCAAAAAACACAAGCCCACGGGCCTGGTGCTTGAGTGTCACGGCAATGTCGAGTCCCTACATGGCCCGGGCTCGTCCCAGGCCTCCACTTAGCCCCCCGCCAGGAGCGGGCAGTGAACAAACCAGGCCCGCTTGCGCCCGCGTCTGGGACGGGCCTGCGCGCCCAGCGGGCTGGGAAAGGCCCCGACTTCCGCCCCAGCGTCTGTGTCTTTCTGCGCATGTTCAGGTCGTGTCCACCATGCGGTGCAAAGCGAGAAAGGAGGGCGAGAAGCAGGCGGAGGAGAAGGAACAGGCCACCCAGACGAGCGCCGCGGAGAGACCCATCCCGTGGTTTCTCCCGCAAAAGCAGAGCCGCTCTCTCCCCGCCTCGCCCCTGCGGCGCGGGGACCAGGCCCGCAGAGCCGGCCGCTCCTGCAGCATCCCCTGCGGCGGCGCCCCGGGGCGCTCTGCGGACCCCGAGCTGGGGCGCCGCCAGCAGGCCGGCCTGGGCGCGCCCTCCGCCTGCGGAGCGCCGGGAGCCGCGGAGCCCACGCAGGAGGAGTGGCGGCAGGTGGGTGTGGCCGCCGGCGGGAGGGACGAGGAGTTTAACCCACGGATCGGAGCCCTCCTTCATGTCTGCTCAGGGCATGGGTTTGGTTTCCGTTCTCTCTCTCTGGGGTCAGGACGCACCAGGACATCAGTATTTGCCTGATGACTCCCATAGTTTAGAAATTTGTAAAGGCTGGGAAGAGGTAGCGGGCGCACCAGTGAGAGAAGAAGGTAAGCAACGATTTGTTGGATGCTGTTGCCATTTTTTACGCGTCAGCAAGGTGGCCGCTGTAGCTCGAGGCAAAAAGGTCTAGTTAGCAGCTTCTATCCTCCGTTCTCAGGGAGCTAGGGAGGGCTTCCCCAGCATCTCCGGAATTGCCTCACAGGCCAGTTCTAGAACTGAGGGAGATGGCTTCCATGAGGATATCAGTGGTAAAGGCTGAGTTCATAAACAGAACTCTGCGTAAGCACATGCTCAAAGAACGAGAACTTCCCACAGATGGCCCTAAGGACTGTGTTACGAGAAAACCGTGTCCCAGCGTGGACCGACCTAGGCAAGGACACGCTGCAGTTTCACATCGCTGCAGGGCACACTGGAGAAGTGAGACGTGTCTAGGCAGGCACGCTGCCACCCCAGACGCAAGCGCAGTTCTGTTAGTACTAAAGCGGGGGAGGATGGGTGTTGAGTCGGCACTAACGGCGCTTGCAGAATACACGGCCCGCAGCCAAGGGGCGGGGCTGGCGGGGACGTCCCTGAAAAGACGGTTGTAGACGTCCAGGCAGGAGATGACGATGTGAGCTCGTGCAGAGGTGTTAACAGAACCACGTGCACCTGCTGGTATTCGACGATTTTTGACCCACGAAAATGGCAAATTCATGTGGTTCACTCAGTAAAGAATTCAGAATTACTTAAGAGCTAAAATTAGTAGGCTAAAAGCCTGAGAGAGAGAGAGAGAGAGAGAGAGAGAGAGAGAGAGAGAGAGAGAGAGAGAGGAGAGAGAGAGAGAGAGAGATGGTGAGTTTAGGTTACATTCTCCCAAAGTTACTGATCTGGGTCTGAACACCAACTGAGAATTGAAATCTTAAAACGAAGTCTCTCCTTTTGCAAAATGGGACTCAGTAATAATGTGCTGACATTTACAAATCGAGTGCAGGTTTTTTTCCTTCAAAGTACTCTTAGACAGTGTCAGGTGTCAACAACCAAAATACACTCTGTTTCATCTGAGTTGTGTTAGATTGGCAGTGTTCTCCCGAGTATTAACAGTAGGATAGAATCTAAACTGCTAAAAAAATTGCTCAGCTCTTCTGCAAATTGTTTTAAAACTTTTTGAATTACTTTAAGCAATAGAATGTCTGACTGTAATTTCCCAGGACCATATCTGGGGTCCTGTGCATGATGCATGAGAGGGTCCCTTGCCACTCCCAGGACTTGTGCCTTCTCTTTGGGGCAAACATCCAGGAGCCTGGAGCGCTGGCGCTGACTGCAGCCTGCTGGCC